AGGGGCAGGCGCAACAGCAGCCGCCGCCGCAGGGCAGCGACGGCCGGACACCGGCTGGGCAGCCTCCACCCTCAGGTAACCCTACAGACCAGCTCGCTGTCCTCCCCGGGGTCCTCCTGGAGCGCAGTGCAGCGAGCCTAGAATTACTCCCCGTGTCATCCTCCCAACTGCCCTGTGGGGTGGTTGGCGCTCAAAGGCAGACTGGCCAGAAATGTCAGCTTCCATGATGGAGGGGACGTGGGAACTTGAGTCCGAGTCCAACATTTGAAGCGCTCCATCATATTGGTTCGATTGCTGTTGCTAGATTCTGCCTTCATTTCTTCCCCACAACCAATCTGTGAGGCAGATCAGATTGGGAGTTTTTAGCTCCGGATTATTCTGTGAGATTTAGAAGAGGTCTGAACTGACCAAAAGTATTTCTGGTTCAGGATTCCATTTCTAAAGGGGGTGAACAAACCAGATGCTAAAGGAAAGCTCACCAGCAGGGCACTGGGGCAAGATCCTTTCAGTCTGGCTGCTGCTTTTCCCCAGTCTCTGGCACTCAGAGGAGAGCTTTGTCCAAACATGGACATTTCATGCAGTTCACATAGTAAGTGGCCACTGAAAGGAAAGGCAGGGGTGGGGTGAGGTGCTGATGAACCAGAAAGAGATGCATTAGGGTAAACTGCGCTATAGAAAAGCTCTGTAAGGTAAAACTTTTAAACTTAATGCTTTTCAAGGAGAAGCTTTTGCTTAAACTGTTATCCTATGGTGGCTGGGTGAGCACCTAGCACTGAGGGTTGTCTCTGTCCCCACTGCTGCTTTGCCTTCCATGTCCCAAAAGCAAAAGGGGGCCAATATGTGTGTGTATGTGTGTGTGTGTGTGTGTGTGTGTAGTATGTGGCTGTGATCATGATTTGTGGTGGTGAATTAGATTTACTGGAGGCAAAGGCCTCCTTTGCTGGTTCTCCTGCCAATGGATTGTCTCTCTGATACCCTCTTTGTTCATTCAAGGGTAATTGATTATTTTAAAAAGCATTTTGCACAACTTTCTCAAAGGTCCTTTCTTCACTGTTAAATTTTTCTGAGCTCTGGTGAGAAAAATAGGAATAGGGACTAACTCCAAAGCAAACCCAACTTCTAGACAGATGCTTGGTAGAAGTCTGTTTTAAAAATTGAGAGGCATTTCCCAACATTAATCTCAGATTACCTGTGTGAGTGGTGCAGATGAACCTTGGAATTTATATAAAATACCTGTATTTAAAGAGAGAAAGAAAGAAATGAAGGAGGGTGTTTTTTGGAGTTAGACCTTATAAACAGGATGATATGGTAAAATAGTACATGGACTGTGTCATATTAGACTGTCTGGGGGAGCTCCTTGTATGATACTCCATAAAAGGTACACATTTTTGTTCCAAAGCCAAACCAAAGCTACAAAACTAGATACCAAGTAGAATTCTAGCACAGCTTCATTTTTTCCATTTTGAACTATTTCATTTTTGTATGGCAATAGCATGAGCTCCCACTGTAATCTGAAATGTTATGGACTGTTTGGACAAGTCTGCTAAATCACCCCCATTTAAGAATAATTTCTCTGTACTTAAATATATATTATGCTCTCCCACCTCACTGAGTTCCCACAAGAAGCCCCATCCCCTGTCTGTGTTCAGGACAAATCCTGGGATCTTTAGGGAAGAGGCTTTGACTTCCTTCCAGAGGGAATTTTGAATTGATCTCAGTGTGATGATTTAGGTGAGTGCTTCTCCTGCCTACTGTTGCATGAGAAGAAAAATGAAATAATCTGCTTTTATTATAGAACAAGCCCTAGCTTTGTGCTAGGTCAGAACTTACTGAATTGAAGTCTCCTTTAACCAAAGTTAGCCAAAACAAACTGGAGTCAAGTGGTTCCACATCCTTGCTGATTAACTAACTTTAATTAAAATGAATAGTATTTTCTCAAGTTTGGACATAATGTGGATTGCTGTAAACTAAGAGCAGAAACTTTCATAGTCCTCTTGCAGTAAGGAGGAAAGCAGACAAAGCTGAGGCTTATCATGATTTATTCCTGATCACTTGACCATGGTTTAGATGTATGTGTTGAGGAGCCTTTCCTATAAAAGGCCATTGACCCATGGGGAGAGTCAGTGGGGGAGGCAGCTTCAAGTGATGATGAATGAAGTGAGATCTTCTGGTATATGAACCCAGTGCCAAAAATAGAGCTTTCAGCCTTGCAGGATTGCATAGTTCCCTTGCTTTCTGCTTCTGCACATTAAATTAGACCATAGGGTGCATGTGGTCTCTTAGCTGCAGATTTCCCACCCTGGTTTAAGTGAGCATCTTAACTGGACTAGAGCCCTGATTCTTCTTTGCCTCTATTCAAATATATGTAAGCAGATCGTAGTTGTTTTATGATTCTAAACATGCTTAAAGGTGCCTTATGTTAAATTTGGCTTTAGATTACACTCTTTTAGTGGTCTAAGAAGCATGATTTTAAATATATGTTACAAAGACTTCTAGGAAAGAAGGCTAAAATTAAAAATCCATATTAATAAAAGTAAGTATAAACTAAGTAGCTACTGATCTATGAGGTCCCCCCCCCCCAAATGGTGTTGATTGTTTAGATGCTTTAATATTTTCCTTGTAGTAACTACAAACATTTTGTTAGTTGCCAAAACAATATTTTAGACATAAATAATTATATATACATGACTTATTCCGATACTTAGCATCAAAAACAATACCTGGGCTAAGTCCTGCAGTATCCTCTTTGAAAAGGAAGTTGGTGCTCACTCATCTTGTACACCTTTTATTTCAAGTTTCAATTAACACAGGAAAAAATACAATGATTCCCAAACAGGTGCCCATATTAAATACTAGCAATAATTAAAATTTCACTCTCTGTGGTAGCACACTGTTTGATTGGAGTATTATGACCAGACTAGATTATGGTATCCATCAGTCTCTAAAGAGCTCAGAGTAATTACATTTTGGCTACCTGTTCCAAATCACTTCCTTTATATTGAATTTAAAGAACATTTCAAATTGGTTCAGAGCAAATTATGCATATTTGATACACAAATTACAAATAAGATTTGTCTACCCATAAGGACACTGTTCTTTCTTGTCAGAAGGGGTTATTCAAATCTACTTTATCATCTGTAATAAGAGAGCTGTTGTGAAAGGAGATAAAAATTTGGAAAAATAAAAAACGCATGCCCTTGAGACAGTAGCATCATCATCTTACATTTGTCTACTCACATTTCATGGGAAATTATTTATTAGAAAATTGGTTGCTGAGAAATCAAGTTGTATGAGCAATCTCTCATTTAAAATGCAGTCACGTGGTTTCTGGGGGGCATCCTTGCAGAACATAAAATACTGTGCAACACCCTTTATGGTACAAGGGAAGGCTACCTGCGGAAGTAGAAGCTGGCTGCAGAAATTGTTGGGAAAAATCTGCTACTATGGTGCTCTCAAAGACAGAATGAGGTAGGATCTGGACCAAATAGAGGCTTTGGGTCAGAAAAAAAGATATGCTAGCTTTTGCATCCAAACACCAGTGGAGTTACACGCCATTGCATTGTCTTTCTTCCCTAGCTGTCTCAAGCGCAGCAGATTTTATGAAGTGGGAGTTCCACTTCCATAGAGGAACTCTATAGTTTCTTACCTCTGTGGCTCTTGACTTCCATAGAATTGGTTTATCTCAGCATTAATTATTCATCCTTATTAACATTTTAATAGCATCTCTCAAGAACATATAGGCATAAGGTAAAAGTATGAGATGGTGAAAAAAGAATATAAAAAGTTTTACTTTCAAGAATATCTGCCATAATTTCACTAAACATATTTCTGGTTAAGTCAATCTTGAAGATTATGAGTAGCTACTGTTTACTAGCAATGTATTAAACTTAATTAGTCTTTTTAAAATGGTAGTAAGTGCTAATTCCAAATACCAGTTCAGTGAAGAAAGCTGTAGTTTTTTTCAGATGGATTGGACACATAGAATAAAACTTTCTTAAAGTCAAGTATGTAAAGAATGTTTAAACTGATGTGACAACTATGCTTAAATAAACAGATTTGTTTCTTAGGAATCTTTCAGCAAAACCTTCCATTGGCTCAATATATTTTTCACATAAATTGTTATTAAATACATGTTTGTTTTGTTAATATTACCAAACAATATATAGAAATATATATTAGAGTTCCAACACAGTAAAGACAAGTGGAATATTTTTTCTTTTGTATCTGTCAGACACATTTTACATCATTTATCATATGTAATCTATTTTCCACAGGACTACACCACAGAGGGAATTCAAACCCTATAGCAACATCTAAGATCACATATTTTAAAAGAAAATATGTGGAAGAAGACGATTTTCATCCCCCACTCACTAATTGTACACCCAAAGTAAGTTTCAAAGAGCCATTACTTGTGAGTTTCTGATTTGAAGTTGTATAACTTGCATTTGCTTGAATGCAATGTATTTCAGTTTCCATAAATAGTAATATGTTTTTGTAAAAAAAAGTATACCTGCTTTTTCTAAACTTGTAATCTGTTAGTATATAGTATGAATTGGCTGATTCTTTTAGTTTCTTTATTGATATCAATTCTGTTTTAATGAACAAAATTTGGACTGGGCAATTTCTTTGTACCAGCTCAGAAATTAATACTTGGCTTCATGAGAATGGAATTTTTCATTCTCCTATTCCATACTTGACCACTGAACAAATTGGAAAATCTATGGTTGTTTGAGTACAGAATCTTTCTCACTCAAAACATTGAGTCCATCTCCCATTGCATGTACATCAGAGATGACCAATAACACTGGCTACATTATAGTAAGCCAGAACTAGGAAGAGTGCTGGTGTATCATGAAGAAACAACTTGCAGATGTATGCTACTTGATTGCTCCCACTTGATTCTTCTTGCCACAGAAGTGGCTAAACAAACCTCAGATGCTCTTTCCATCATTTGTTTACTATGATATTTAGGCCAGAGTTGGAAGCCATGGATTGTTTTTAGATCCCATTCTGGGCTTGTTCGGGAGTCTCAGATCAGGGTTTATAGTTGAAACATCAGTTCTTCCCAATGTTAATTTACTATATCTGCTTTCACGTGACATATAAATGCAGTCAGTATCTTTGGCTAGCTCTGATTTTTCATGCTAGGGAACAAGAATTCACTACTGTGAATGAGATATAAAATTTGAAGCAAGTAATCTAAATCTAGAAATCTAATAACAATTTGAAAAAATGGCAATTTACTGTCTTTTAATGACAGAGTAAATCTAACTACTAGGCCAAGGTGTCTGACCTATTCTAAAGACTGTCCAAAGATGAGCATATTATATGAATTTGTATTACTTGATAAATCTAATATCTCCTAGTTCAGATGTTATCTTTTGCCTATAATGAGGGAAGGAGATGGACAGAATGTTTTATGGAGATGAAGACACAAAGGTTCTGACTTATGAACCTGATGGGCCAATTCAAATCCCAGTTCAATGTGATAAATTTACTGAGAGAGCCTTCACAAAAAAATATTCGTCAGCCTGTTTTCTCTCTCTCATTTTAAAATAAGAGTCACTACTATCTTTATGAAGTTGTTATAAGAATGACAGGACAGCTTAAGTATTAGCATGCCTGTGTTTAGCCCGTTCAAAAAACTTGTGGTCCATCCACAATCAGTAACATTTAGGGGCATCTTACCTTTTGCATCACTCAAGGATGTGCCAAGGATACATGTTAGCCCTGCTACATTTAAGAAGAGATTTCTCTGCATAAATGCTGCAGTATTTATGCTCCGGGCAATTGATCCAAGGTTCTGGAACACGCTCTGTAGTTGTACTGCAGATTTGCTTTTCCCTCATGATCATCTTCAGATCTGTCATTAAAAAGTATAGCTAATGATTTTATTCTTTGCTTGTTGAATTTTATACTAAGACATTCATGGTATTCTAACATGCGAGTATGCTTTCATCTTGTTAATTTTCTCTTTTCACACAAAGTACAACAGAGTAGCTTTATCCAGTGGATGGAGTGATGAGTAGCCTCAGGGAATAAAGTCCCAACTTCAAGTGACACAAGTCCTTCCCCTCCAGGGCAAGATCCTGCTGTTAAACAAATATAGCCTCAAATTCACAGAATAGGTAAACAGAGTTGTGTAAAACATAGGGGAAAAAATTCCCTCTTGGACAACTTGTACTATCCAACTAGTGGTCATAAAATAGTGCGCAACCTGCCAAGTTCTTAAAAACTCAAGATGGTAAAATAAACACATACAAAATGAGAAAAAATGTAGCTAAGGCTCAAATCATAAGTTTGCATTTAGTGATAGTCTTGATGTAATACAGCAGTAGGTTATGGGGCTTTGGTCTTGATGTAGTTAACCACATTGAGACTTGAGCAGGAGGCACATTGTTTTTAAAGTAAACAATCATTGTATAAAAGTTTTCATTGGGCTGCAAGTAAGATAGGCCTACTTTGACCCTGTGATCATGTTAACCAAGTGCTTTGAAGATTGAGAAAAATATAGTAGAAACACCTTGACTTGTATACTGGAAGTGGGAAAAAGCAGGCAGAAGGGGATTTACCTGCCCTTTTTCCCCCTGCAAACATCTTTGCAGTCTTCCGGCAGAGTATGGAATATGGTCGAGGGCAGGACTGTGGGGTGGAGAGAAATCACCCAGGTTTTGGAAAAAGTAAAGACTAGACCTGTTAGCTCCCCTTCCCATGTTGCTTGAGGAAGTTCCATAGCGCTCCAGAGAGGTGTTTGGAGGATGCAAGTAGGAGAAGGTGATAGAAAAGCCTTCTGGGGTTTTTTCCATTCAGATACTAAGCATCCATGATAACAACAACCAACCACAACAACAGCAACACTGAATGTACAGCAACAGTAACAATAGTACAATTCCTTTATACTTAACTCTGTAGGGGGCCATGTAATTAAAAAAAACACGACAGTGACATTAAAATGTATTTGTTTCCATTCACCTGGCTTTCTTGATTGGGATAGGTAGTAAAATTACTATCATTGTGTTAATTGTGTATAGATGCTAATTTTAAACAGAAGCAGAATTTCTGCAAAGAGGAAGCTTTACTTTATAGCTTTGCTTAGGAATCAGTGACACAGAGCATGTTTCTGGGTGCGCTGGCTGGAAACTTTAATATTTGAGAACTAACACACATACACAGACACAAACATACAAGTGAAATGTTTCTGCAGAACAGCACTCTAGGACAATAGTATTTTACTGCATTTAGGGTACAAATCCTCACCTGTTTTATTCTCCATTTTCTCTTTCTTCTTCTCACAAGCATCTCATTATGAAATTAGACACCAGTTTAACAATCCTTATGACTGATTTTTTTCTTTCTTTCAGTCTGTAATAATACAGAAAAGGAGAACATTGCAAGGCTGCTATATTGTCTGGACATCTGGAAAATCAAAATTCAGTCCCCAAGGAATGTCAGAATTCATGGTTCATTTAGACCATGACTTTTTTGTTAAGTAGGATTGCCAAAAGTAGTGGTGATTTTTTGTAAAAAAGATAGTTTTCCACTGGGAACTAGACAGAAACCAGTAGATAGTTTTACCCCAAACATGAAACAGCCTGCCAGATGTTTATCAGTTTGTAGTTATAAGCAGTAGTAAGTGCAGTTGAATCAGAGGCCTTGAAGTGAACTATTATGTTTTTTTTAAATTACTTTACCTGGTGCTGAACCTTTATAATGAGATTTTTTATATAGAAACATGTTGATTAGTGTATGTGTATGTATATGTGTGTAGTTAATCCTGAACCTTTATAATCTGCTATTTTTGTTGCTTTCTGTTGCTTTTCTAAAAATAGGTAATTAATAATGGATTGAGCACCAAACCTAGTAATAGTGTATTTATTTATTAAACTTGTATACTGCCATATTTGAAATGACAACATTTTACAGCATAAACTAAATCAAGTATACAATTAAACAGACCATAAAGACATAGCACAAAATACTAATAAACAACCAAGGTGCTGCTACGATCAGTAAAATAATATCAAACTTCAAATGTCCCGCGGAAGAGTTCCATCCTGGCATTCTTATGGAATGACACCAGGTTTGGTGCCAGCCAGATCTCCTAGAGACGGCTGTTCTCCCTAAAATAATTATTCTTTTGCATATATTGTTCTATATAGTGGCAGGTTTCTGTTAAAAGGGCTCTTCAAAGGTGCATTAGTACTGAATTAGTAAACATTCAAGCACTGTGGTTTCTTTCAGTTGCTAGCTAGATCCAATTTCCTTGATTTAGGAAGTCTGACTTTGGTGCATGCGGCCTGTTTGATACGGCAGCTCTGACTCTGGGCAGCTCACAATGATCAAATAAAGAAATTACAATAAAATCAATAAAAGATAAAGATAAAAGTTGGTAGATTCTCCCATGCCAAAGAGCACAGCTGCCCAAATACTATATGATGTTTGGATGGATAAAATCTCAATGGCATGTTTCAATTAATGAACGCTACATTCCTTTTTATTATTATTTCCTCTCTCTTATTCATTTTAGACAATCTCTGTATTTGAGGAGCGGGCACATATTCTTTACATGTCTTTGGAAAAACTGAAGTACATTGATGACCCTGAAGTCTACCTAAGGAGATCTGTTCTTATAAACAATTTAATGAAGAGAATTCATGGAGAGATTATCATGCAAAACAACTGGTGTTTCCCTAGTTGCTCTTTTGGAGGTACTTCAGCTCAAGAGTGGTTCATGTCTCATGACTGTCCTTATAGGAAGCGTCTTCGGATGGCACGGGAAGACTGTGAAAAAATCCACACATGCTGTTTTTATCAAGAATGTGGCAGCCATTATTTAAGTTTACCATTATCTACTAATTCTGCAGTGGGGAATTCCACCTCTTCTTCTGTGTCTTTGCCAAGTTGTTCCCAACAAGTGGAATATGGTATCAACAGTTCCCCTGTTTATAGGAGTGATGAGCAGATACACGCCAATGAAATTTTCATTACAAATGCTGGGCCACATGGTAATCAGGACAAGTCAATATTAAGTAATGAGAAAGGAGGCCATGATATGGATAGAGAACGTGCTTCAGACTGGGAACCTATGAAAAGTGATCATGGCATAGAATGTAAAAACAAATATTACAATTATTTTGACATGGGTCATGATGACAAGAACAACATGAATGAATCTTGGAAGAAGTGTTTACGAAAAAGGGAGTGTTTACCAGGTAGCAAAGTATGTTGCAGTAAAGGAAATAAAATATGAACCATCTTCTGAATAATTTCAGTTTAGAAGCAAGCACAGTGTGTTGACATTATCAGAAAAAAATCATTTTGGATCAATTTTCTTATGCTTTTATAGAACTAATACAATTGTGTCATAAGCTTCATGGATACATTCAGTGACTGTGGAGCAGATTCCATCAAAGCGTATGTATGGTCTGCATCATGAGCTATTTATAAATACATGGGATCCTCATAAAGAGCACAGTTGCATTGTATACTTCCATTGCTGGAAGAACCAATAAACCATATGGAGAAAACATAATCCCTTTCATGTATCCCTTTGGGAACCTGACATGAATTAAGAGGAATCTTCTTTATGCTTATCAATTAATTATACATTTGATAAGCAAATTGTTACCAGCAAAGGGGAAGAATACTTTTTGCCCATCAAAATGGCTATGAGAAGGACTGCATAGAAATGAAATGGAATAGGCCCACCTTATGGTCCAGTACTGACATTATTCTAATGTATTTAAGTCTGGTTTAATTGATAGGGTACAATAATACCTTTTTATGGAGACTTAATCTGAAATGCTACATACAGCTCCAGCACATGCACAGTTTTCAGCTAAGCTGCAAGAATGAACAAGCCTTATAGTGGTTTATTGCTATAATGGCAGAGGTTTTTTTTGGTGCCTTACTTTTTATCTTAATTTTTCCAGGGTGAAAATTAAGTTTAAAAAAACAGCTACAGCAGGGATGTAATCTAAACAGGAAAAAATAATAACAGGGTGGATCAAATATTATTAGAATTCTGTCTCCTTTGAAATACAAAGCTTGATTTCCTATTCAAATGCCGCTAGTCATTCTTTTTGCTCAGTCGCTTTTTGATTTGCCATTTTTAGGAAAGGATTGAAGGAAAAAAAAAAAAACACAATAGAGACGTGTCTCTTGTAAACAAGCATTAGCTCCTTGAATATTTCTATGGCAACTGTCTGTTGCTTTGATATTTTTTTTCCTTTTTCTTTCTAGCATAATGAAGTTCATGAACCAGTGGCATGCTTTATACTTTACTCTGTTTCACATCATTTTCTCTTTTCAAAAAATTGTAAAGAGCATGTACTGGGTTTTCATATAACTTTAGGGTTTTTTTTATTTTGGAAAAAAGCACAATGTTAATAAATGATGTGGTGATATAAGATTTTTATCTGAAATGAATGTAAGAGTTTCAATCTGTTTTTTTTTTTAAGATTATCTTGGAGAAAGAGGGGGATAATCTTCAATTATTAGGACTACATTTTGGTCATTTCTGGATTTCTCCATTTTAAAAATGGTCTGGCTAAAGTTCAGTATCTTTAATTCCAGGTAAAGCACACAATGAATTCGGTTCCATTTAAATGTAATTTTTATAGCTGAAAGAATCAATAAATGGGGGTAATCATTATTATATGACTTGACCACTTAAAGTTCTGCCTGAATTAGGAGCAATCATAATTCCAGCAAATACTTCATTTTTGCTGGATCATGCCCTTATTTTTTTCAGCAAAGAGTGAAGAATTTTCATCTGGATCCAACTTATGCTTCAGTAGAATTATGTTCCTAATTTATCAACAGAGATTATACAGTTATAACTTCCAGTGTTCAAAATCTGCCCACTTAATCCCCCTAAAAACTATTTACATTTTTCTCAACAGCTACATGAATTATTCAAACAATTATAAAATAATTTTCAGTTCCTATGCCTTATCCCATAACCTATAATTCCTGTTACTCTGCATGTACATCTTTGATGCAATTAATTATGAAAAGCATGAAATCTTGGATGGATTGTTGCTTCCTTTGTATAGAACATGCTTTGCATATAAAAGATCTTAGATTCATTCCTTACATTTCTCTTTAAAATATGAGGTGACAGATTAAGCAAAAGTCTTCTGCCAGAAAATCACTGCCAGTCAGGGTAGACAATACAGGGTTAAAACACAGTTTCCTTTCCTACATTCAGCATCTGATATGGAAGCAATTTAATTTAATTGCAAATACTGGGAGCTGAAATGTCTACTTTTTGACACTAGGAACTAGCTAAAGTCCCATCTATTAGCTTGTGTTAAGTGTATAGCTTCTTTCTAATCTCTTCGTCATCATTATCTACAGAGAGTGGATTCGTAGACTACACTAAACCATAATGTAGTTTGTTTTGAACTTAGACTGTTGTGAGACCAATTTAGCTTAGCATTGTATAAACCAGTCAATTTGGACAACAAACTATTGGTAAACTGTGTATTAGTGCAATTTATGAAAAAAATCTGAATCAGCTGCATATTTGATGCGGATAAGAGGTAGCATTATCTAGTAGGGTAGCTTCAATATATATTTCTTCCGTAAGATACACACTCAATAATCCTTATCTGTCTTAAATACTTGCTTAACTTAATTACCATTGTAGAAAGAATATTCTAAATATCCAAAGAGAAAACATCAAGAAAAGTTTAATTTAACTGGGAGTACAGATTTAATTTAAATTCACTGCATCCATGACAGATAATTAGCACAGTTTTATAGGAGAGTCTAAGAAATCTAGTTTATCATCATCAGTATGTCCCTGTATCAGGAACCAAGCTTTCCCTACAGGAGTCTGGCAAGCAAGGGAGCTAGAGATAGGATATTGGGGGTGGGAGTGGGGGTGTCAGAAAAGTCATGATGGTCCTTTGATTGCACAGTCATGGCTACCATCTTTACTTTTTTTTACCCTTCCTGTAGACACCCCTGGTTAGAGATTAGGATCTCTCATAAGGCTGTGTGGCTATTCTGCTGTGTATGATAGAATAGAGAGGAAGGCTGCTGAAGTAGCAGCTCATTTGCTGGGATCCAAGACTCACCAGGAAAATCTTAACTCCCTTGGCTCCACATCTAAGGACCAGGAAGCAGTCAGATGAGGTAGATGGGAAACATTTCAGCTCTAATAGTCAGGAAAGGGCCTGCAGTACATTGTGTTGTCACCTTTAAAAAGATGTCATTTACATTACATGACTCTGTCTTCAACTTTCTTCTGTACTTAGGAAATGCAAAGATTTCTAGGGCTGGGGCATTCAATGTGGTGTTGGTGGGCACCATAACAATGATCAGGCCATATTGTGACACCCACTGGACTCTTTCTTCCCTATGCAAACAAATGGAATCATATCATTTACTTGCACTGGGAAGATAAAATTCTGCCCTATTAAAAATGGGGGCCACCAGGGACACTTATAGAAAAGAATTTTGTCACCAAATGGACTTTTCTCTTTATTTCCAATTAATTTTAAGTGGAGAAGAACGCCCCCTGCCAGACTAATAAATGGACCATTCTATTTTCTTTTTCTTGCTTATTTTTTCTCTCTTTCCTTTCCCTCTATTTTTGTTTTGTATAGGAGAAAGGAAAACAGAGATAAAGTGAATAGGAGAATTTCCAACTTTTGTGATTGACTGCACTGACCAACAGTCTGTGGTGTGTTCTCATGACATAAACAATCATCCACTCCCCCTTCCCCCAATAATAGACATACCACGGTGTGCCAGCAGCAGCTGAATGAGAATAGATGGGTCTGTGTGTTGGTGGCCAATTTTAGAATCCTCCTAGCTTCTGCAAAAGGAAACAGGGAGGCTCTCAGTCCCTGCTTTGCTTCCCTTCCAGTTTTTCAAAGTCTGAGTAAAAAAAATTAAGAAACCCACACATGCTTGAAATTAAGGTTTAGGGTAAGGGATTTTCTTACCCAGATCCCATCCATTTCTGGTAATTCTTCATTCCCCATGTGGCCACAAGGAGGTGGATTAAAAACCAAAATAACCATAGAAATTGAATGCATAGACAACCCCCCCCTTTTTTTTACAGGACCTCTCTAGGACTTTGTCTTTATTTTAGATGAGATAGGAATTAGCTAACCATCTGGCTAGCAGTCTTGAATGGAGTTAATTTAACCTTAGGCAAGACTGTGTCTCTTTAGATCTAAATCCAACCCCCAAAGATTAGCTGATTGGGTCAACTCACACATTTTTTAATGCTCCTATGACACATACAATGTCCAGTGTATGAATATTCATGCTTCCCTCTCCCATGATAGCCATTTTATTGCTATGTCACAACTGTATGACATGTGCCCATAGGTCCAGAAGCTGGGGGAGAATTAAATATAAAATTGATCTATGCCAGTATTGGAAATTTTACAAGGCTAGCATTTCCATTTTTAAAAGGTTGTCCCACCTTTTTTCTCCAAGACAAAAGCATTTTTATTATTGCTATCAATATTAAATATAGGTCTCATTCATACAGTGTATGAGTAGGATCATTTAGTCATTTGTCCACATGGACCAATTTTTTAAAAAGCTGACTTTTCTTGTGTTATATTCAGTTGAGAACAGAAAGATCTGTTCTTTTTCCAATATATGTCAAACTTTGGATGTTTTAAGCTTAGATATTTAGGTATTTGTATACTAAGGTGATGTTGTAGTAAAGTGTGTTTTTTCTTGATATATATTTATTAAAATGATAAAAATCATTTTCATTTAAAAAATTTAACTCTGCTTTTTTTCTTTTTTTCCATCAAGAAAACATTTAAACACATATTTGAGCAAGTGAAATGTGACTGGTATGGTTTTAGTCGATTAGATCAGCTAAAGACATCAACCCCCCCCCCCTTTTTTCCTTAGAACATGTTATAATACTGTTTTGTTTTGTACACCAGTTGTACATTCTGAAAGCACTGATACATTCCTGAATGCAAGAAGAACTTAGTTTTGCTTTCCTAATCTGAAAATTGTTTAAGCGTATCTGTATGTTGTCAGCTGTGCCCATTGAAGATTTACCATCCAAGTTGTTCCAGTAAAACCCTCCCACCTGAACTAAAATTGGCTTGGAATTCCCAGACTACTGTGAGGCTGAATTCCTGTTTTCAGTTTTAAGGAAAATATTTCAGATGGTTATAGTCTGTTCCAGTGAGGAGATACACATGTATTGAATTAAATTAAGAGATTTTCTAAGAGACAATCTGTTCATTGAAACTTCCATAATGGAAGAGAGGAAAGGCATTTTTGGCAACTCCTGTGTAGACTCTGGAAATCTTCTTTAGGAGATTGGAGGATTTGCTGAAATGGCCAGGAAGATTCAAGCCATAGGATACAAGGGGAATTGGTTTTTAAGAGGGGTGGCCTCTGTTACATTAACAGCCCCAGAGAAGGGCTGCTTGATATTGAGACTAATTGTAACATAAAGGGTGTTTTCAACTAAAGAGCTCCTAATGCTAAGCTATTTTTTCTTTGCTTCCTTAATGGAGTTTCTCTAGGGAAAAATTGAGAGGTTATGGAAAAGAATAGGAAAGTTACAAATGAAAGGCAGTATTCTTTGGACCAGTGTTTCTCAACCTTGGCAGCTTTCAGGTGTGTGGACTCCAACTCCCAGAATTCCCCAGACAGCCAATGGATTGTCAGCATGATTACATAACAACTGCCCCTCCAACCATATCCATTGCACTAAGTGACAATGTGGTTTGTTTGATTCTGGCTCGGTACAAGTGTGATCCCTAAATTTTAGGTTCATTCACCATGGTTTACAGCTTAGCACAATGTGTGAATATGATTTTAATTTTGTAGATATTTAAAACAATAACAAGAAAAAAGGCTTAATGATTCACTGTTCTCAGACAGACTAGAATCTCTACATTTGAATTACAAAAAGTAAATTACAGCCAAACAACCTTCTCTAGTCTTTCTTAGGCTGCTTTGCCTAGTCTTAGATCCCCAGATAATTTTGAGCGACAGTTGTTCCAAGCCAGTATAGCCAGCATCAAGCTTGGCAGGAGTTATAATAAAATAATATCTGCTGACCCAATAGTTGAAGAAGATGAATTTGAAAATAATTTCCAAAAATCTGAACATTTCAGCAACAGAAGAGCAGATGAAGAAAGTTATGCTCTCTTATATCACTGGAAGTTGTTCTTTTTTAAAAAAAGAGCGCAGGCATTCAATTAAGATGTGAAAAATACTGTGCTATGTGATAATACAGCCCAATATGTATCATTGATTTTTTTTCATATTTTATTGGGATAACAAATTAAAACTATACTGTTTGATTAAATAATATGCCTAAGGAAAATAATTAGAAGACTAGATTATTTACTTGTCAGAAAGGAATCTAATCAACATTCAGCAAAATTAGAGAAGATAATATATTAAAGATAAGATAAGGATATCCTTTTATGGATTTATTTTATTTTATTATTTATTCAGTTTGATGCTGCCCAACTCCAAATGACTCTGGGTGGCTCATAATACACCAGAGAATATAAAATACAATATAACAAAAAAAAAAAAAACCCAACCCCCCCAAAAAAACCAAAAAAACCACATTATTAATTTGTTATGCCTTCTAAACAAGCTAAACAGATCTGACAACCATGCTTTGAGTGACCAAACTGGAACTAGTGAAATCACAAATGTCATCTGATGTTTGGTTTATACACCAATTGTACATTCTGAAAGCACTGGTACATTCCTGAACACAAATAGAATTTAGTTTTGCTTTCCTAATCTGAAAATTGTTTAAGTGTATCGTATGTTGTTAGTTGGGCCCATTGAAGACTTACCATCCAAGTTGTTCCAGTAAAACCCTCCCTCCTGCTACCCTCTTTCCGATAACACAAAATGAACTAATTTTTACACTGAGACTTCTAGCATGGAGAGGCTTGACAGAACACATAAACCTGCCTTCTGGAAGAGTCTTGTCAAAGAACAATGCACAACACATGGTTTACATAAGCCATATTGTGATTTCTTTGGTTTGGGCTTAGCATGCTGAGCAAACTTAGCAAACTGTATTTTGTAAAACATGGTTTATAGTTTAGTATATTGTGTGAACTCAGTCAATAGCAGTTATTCAAAAACACATGGCTTAGTGTATATGTGAACCCAGTTCATTGTTGAAATAAACCATAAACAAAGAAAAATACACAGAGACACAGACATAAAAATGTATATATCAATGCAAATTATTACATACTTCTTTGCATGCTTACCAAACAGGATATCCACTTCTCAAATAATGTGCTAATTTTCAAACATCGCTAATTAGAACTATGCTGATCTTCACCATAGCACATAAATCAGAGATTGAAGGAACATGATGGTGAAGCCATTAATTTCTAACATTGTGATCTACAATGATATATAAGGTAGACAACCACATGTTTCCTTATATAAACAAATGATTAAACATTTTGTATGCCGTGTTTGGTTCTCTGTTAATCTGTGATGAGGCCATTATGTCTATTTCACTAATACTAATCAGCAGTGCTAATTCTGTCTTTTGGCATTTAAAAGTTAGCCTAATTAGGGCTTAATCCTGTGCACAACAAAATTTTGACCTTGGCGAGACCTTGGAGAGAAGTCACCATGAGTAATCTTTACTTCCAGGCAAGTACATTTCCAAGCATGAAAGTGACTGACTGATGAAACTCTACTTTGTTATTATGACCTCTTTGTTACCATAAAATATGCATGTGGTTGTAGAATAAGAATAAGGAGTATAACTCAAACAATACAATGAAGACAATTTTTAAAATATATATTTTTATACAGTTAGAAGAACCATACAAATACACACAAACATAGTATTACGAGCTCAGCATATGTGTGGAAAATCTCCAGTATGTTCAACATGTTCCAAATGACTCCACTACCAAGAAGTGGATTAGTGCTTAATATATACCAAAAAATTTCTACATCAGTGTATACAATTGTAAAATTATCCCAGAAGATAATGAGATTTTTATTAAACAGTTGCAGTTGGTCATGATGACTAGGAATTATGAGAGGTACAGCCTGATTTTTTTTAAAAATGGAAGTTTTACAAGCCATCATCAACAGTGAGTTTAATTAGCAAGTTTTGAATATAGGCATTTCTAGTCATTATTTCAATAAAAATGGAAAATCATGTTTGTTGCTGAAGCAGATGGAAAGGATTGACTGAACTCTGATACATTGAGATTCCCTAGTGATATTGCAAAATATCTTCCTTAGGTCCAATTTTATTTTAATGCAGACTTTCTCCTGGCAGTCTGCCCAGATGTTGTGAAGCAGTTAATCCAGCTCAAGATTAATCTGAGAATGTAAGAGATGCATCCAAGACCATATAAGGCTTGATTTTGGCCCTTGTGAACTAAACAGCTCTAAATGTTGAGCGCGCAGAAGCTCATGAAGGATGTCAGAATGAGGTTTCACTGTTTTCCAAGTTGAGATAATGCCATTCCTACAAGGCAAGATGATTTTCTTTTAAGACTCTGGTAAGATTTGTAATCATATTTATCAGCCTAAATGATGCATTATGGAGTATGAAAAGTAGCCCCACAATTCTAGGAGGTTGTGTTGATTATTGATAACACCCAGTGTTGAAATCACGATACTTTCATTTCCTATGTGCTGGAGCAGGGTTTCTCAATCTTGACAGCTTGAAGATGTGTGGACTCCAGTTCTCAGAATTCCCCAGCCAGCATGGAATAGAATATTTAATTATATTGCATAATAGTCTACTGATATATCTCAGTCTCCCAGTTCCAAGAGGAATACAATGCATAAGAAGTATCAAGAGATTGGAGGAACCTGGCAAATTAAAGATATTAATGAAGAGTGAAGTGGGTAAGAGATCTAAATCAACCTCACAACTATGGGTGTGAAAGCCATAGAATGGAGAGATAAGGAAACGATGAACCAAAGTCAAGAGTAGGAGACATTCTCTCACCACCTCTGCCACCACCAACTGGCATCTTCCACTGTTTCCAAGTTTTAGCATCTGGAGAAGCTATTACCAGCTTCAATCCATCAAGTGTTTCTAGATCCAGATTTACTTCAATATTTAATTCCAAAAACTAAGAGTATGCAGGGAATCTGAATCCATGCTGAGGACCTACAATTTTAGAAGTAGCAGAATATTTAACATAAGGCTACCCTTTCCAACACCCCCCTCCCGCCTCGCTTGTAATGGGTTGGCTGCCTCTTGGCTATGATTGCAGGGCAGCTTGAAGCAGCTGGCAAGCAACTATTAGCATAACAAAGAATGGTATTATAGCATTGTTCTATACACTTGTGAGCCTTCAAAATATCTTGATGTTCATGTGCGTTTTACACACAGTTAAATTCCCTTTAGAACTGGGCAAGTTTAAAATGTGGTTTTGGACATCCATGGGAGAAAAATTATAGCTTTGTAACTTTGCCCCAATTTTACATGGATATATTATCTTTTGCAATATCTGCAGATCGTTGTCACATCCCCACCAACCCCTCATTACAGATGTAGTGCTGTATGCGTCTGAATAGATCCTTTCCTTATGCTTTAACTTGAAGGCTTCTTACACAGTAATACATTCCCAAAGCAGAGTCAGTACTCAGGATGAGACTTAAGACACAACATACACAGTTTTGGAAGAACTGCAGCATAAATATAAAGGTGCATACTGTACA